TTTTCGGATGTTGTTGTTTCGTATTACTGATCGGTATTACCTTCAAGAGGAAATAATTATCAATTAATTATTTTAAATATAATTACCTTGGATGCCCATTCATTCGAAGTTAGTTTTTTGACAAAGGATACGTCGGGGATTTGATATTTAGGCATATTAATAATTTTATGGGAATAATCAAGTAAAATCAATGTAATTTATACCTTTCATTTTGTAAAAAACAAAATCTTATTTTGCATATCATAAAAATTTCATAGAAACCTTAATTGTATCATCAATATGTATGTAGTGTCTACATATTTTTAATAATCACGCAATTGAGACAAAAGCAACATCGTCTATTTCTCTGTTAACTGTTTTCTCTTTTGCCATTTCAAATGTCATTGCGTTTTCATATATTTTATACCGCCTTTGTTTGCAAAGAATCAAATGAAATAAAAATGTTATATATATTCTGATTAGTATTGTGTATACAATATGTATGGATCATTCATTTCAAATTTGTTGATGCAGAAGCTGGATTTGAATGTAAACTAATCAAAAAAGACAAACTCAATTTGATCTGCTCAATTTTTCGCTTTTCCGCGAATGATTACAAGTCAAAAATTAATTTTGTTTTTGAGGTATTCTCTTTCTCGTAGAGACGAGTCCAGTAAACATAAATTGTCTGATTGCTTGTCTGTCCGCAGGGTCAAAAAAACATCGAAGACTAATTTTTCAGAAAAGACATTTCTAGAGGTATTTCGATGCAGGAACTTCGAATCTGATGTTAGTTTTCAAAATTCTTCAAGAAAAAAATTTTTGTAGACAAAGGATCATTTTTTTATAAAAACACTTTTTTTCATTTAAATTTGACGAAATGGTTTTTTCAGGTCGGGGAACACGGATCTGATGTTAGTGTTTGCAAGTTATATAAGCAAAAGGTCCCATAGCATTGTCGAATACCATTTCTATGAGAAAGAGCTCAGCGAGTTCTTAGACGAGCGTTACTTGTACTTTTAACATTATTAAAGAAATACATAATTGATTTCGTCGACGAATTTCATGTTATTTATTTTGAATAAATAAAAAACTAATCAGAGCTTTACATACAGGTAAGCAAAAAACAAAAAGAAACAATTGTAGGAGAAAAAAGAATAAATTATAATCAAGGGGAAAGAGTTGAAGAAAAAAAGTACATGTTTTGGGTACCGGTGTGAGTATGAATAATCTTCTTGTTCACTCATACCTACACCCTCGATTCATTATTAAGATCGATTGTTTTATTTCTTTTCTTACGAACACTCTATTCTAAAATTCAAAAGAAAAATTCGTATTTTAGTCTAGTCAAAAATAAGATCCTTACTTTTACATTAAAAAAGACTTATTCTCCCTTTTATCAACACATATTGTGTTAATAATATTTATATACTCTACAATATTCGAGTAGGAAATTTTTCTTTTGGTTTTGGGTTTTTTTATATTATCCTTAAAAATCAATAAATATAATTAGATAGATTTAAATCTATTAGTTTTTCTTACCATCTGACGAAAATTATTTAAGTAATCAATAAATTTATTAAATTTTATTCTGTCGTTATCGATGTCCATGTTGCAGATCTAAAGTATGAAATTGTAAAATGAAGAAATCTCTGTGAAACAAAAGAGAAAGAAAGATATGATTATAATTAATGTTTGTCTTCTAGGTCCCAGAACAGACTAAAAAAGTCAGACAAACTAAAACTGAACTTTTAATCGAGATAGACCAATCACGTTGCTTAACTTAACTTGAAGTTAATCCATTTTTTCAATCTGTTTGGGATCTTCATCACCAGAAAAAATATTGGAACATAAAACGATTTCTTTCTTTGAATAGATTTTGGGTGACATCGATCGAATTAAATACAGATTTAATCGAATGATACACAACTATTAATTAATCGATCGTAGTTATTAAAATCAAATAAATACGAAGGGTATGTGGGTGTGTGGGTATAGACGAATAAGGCCAACCCCCATCCACACCCACACCCACACCCCACCCCAATAATCTACTCATATACTCTCTCTTTAACGTCAACCAAGAGTCCTATCTGACATACTGTAAACTAGGAAATGAGTTATACAGTTTCATGAAGAATATTCTAGGAATGTCTACATGAATATATCGATGATTTTCTAATTAGAAGATCAAAAGTGAATTCATATAGGCATTCGTAGAATTTCGGATTCTATTTCACAATTCGAGTATATTATAAACACTCGAAATTCGGGATTTATTTTTAGTATCTGCAGTAATAATATTTTTTAAAAATTCGTATATTTAAATAATTTGTTGAAATTCGATTTTAACATTTTGAATAATATCTCTATTAAATGAATTAGAATGATCGTTGATTTCACAAATCAGCTATTCATGGAAAAAGAAATTAAATTAAATTAAAAAGAAATAATTTAATATTATGTGTAAGCTTATATACAATTAATTAATTCGCTATAGCTGTTGGCGATGATATAATGAATATCTAACATTATCGACTGGTTTATACACCAATATAGGGCAATGATTTTATGGCGATGTTTATTTCAATAATCTGCGAGAAATAATATTGATTTTCAAATGTTCTAAAACTTATTGCTCACGTTTTGATTTTTTTGAAAATAGTTTTATTGCAAACCGATTTTTCAAAAACTAGAATTTAACAATTTTTTTAATAATGTATAGTCCTAAATCAAGGCAAAAATTTCACCGATCCGTCTGTGTCATATGACACTACTCTTGCGTATAACTATCTTCGTATATTTCGTTGATATGAGAAAACTGATCAGTTACCCACATTGTTTTTACACTCTACATTCATTATAAACGCTGTTTTTTTTCATATAAACGACACAAAAATAGACGTATATATCGTCGCTTCTGCTTATCTGCTTGCTTGTTTTTTTATTGAGAGAAAAGACAAAAATCGTCCTAAAACACATTTTCACATGTAATTATGCTCGTTTATTTCGTTAATGTAAGAGAACTGATCAATTACTCACATTTCTTTATGCGCGCTACATATAAACCACATAAAAACGGACGTATATATCGTCGTTTCTGCTTAATTACTTGTTCGTTCTTTTCTTCATATAAACGACAACGAGAGAAAAGAAAAACGATCGTTTATGCATCACTAAACCATATAGACAAATGTATATACATGCATCTGCTCTTTACGTATTCGTTTAGTTATTTATTTTCGTGAAGATTCAAAACAAATATATTCGACTGTTTCTTGTTCGACTCCAATTGTGCTTCGATATTAATTCACGGTAATTACTACTATACCATTTCTGTTTAGTATCCACCATTCGAACGATATTTTTTATCATGAAACTTGTTCCTCTGTTAAGATGTAATGTAACTATATAATTAGTTATTGAGATTCGTTTAAATCATCATATTTATCCATTGACAATACATAGTGCATTTTAACTAGAGTAAGAGTGGATAATAGTTCTTTCTGAGACTTCACACTATCATGAAATGTAACAAACAAAGCCTCTCACATAACATCATAGCTGGCTATTCCTAGACTACATTTTCGATCATCGTTAATTATGCACCACTGTTACCTTCACTATGTCTTCTTTGGATTAAATAGTAAGTCAGATTCTATATCCTATGTGACTGAGTTCTCAATAAAACTGATCTTCACATTCTTACTACTATTGACCCTGATTGAGTATTGAGTCAGATTATGTACAAAATTTGACTGTGAATCTTGAGGGTATGGTAGTGCGTGTCTGTTCTTCGATCAATCAAATCAACACCCACACCTACCCTCATGATTGGATCACCTGAATATCGTAAGCAACCGAACTTTGTTTGTAATATCGACTTGAGTACAGGACTAGTTTTTTTATTGAGATTTTTATCAATTCTGTATGTTTTTCATTTCATTTAGATCCTGATACTCACTCTGGTAATTATCCACCTCGAAATACCAATAGCTCGATACCGATATTAGTCTTGTTATATTTACCGTCGTCATTGGCGGGTTTATCTTCAAACTTCTCACCTACTAATCAAGCGAAGTTTTCGCAATGACTCAACCAAGTCAGCAACTTCGAATTATTGCACAACCCAAAGCACTCTATCGTGAGCGATATGACAGCGAACAATATAAAACTGGAAATCGAATTCAACGTTATATTCGTGCTGAAGATAACCAGCTGAAGCTCGAATATCCAACTATAGAGGTGAAAAGAAGCAATACTAATGTCAATTTTGATTATTACAGAGGAGAAAAGTCAGAATTTCTCTGGAGTTTCGCGGGATACTCTCAAATATTTTTTTGGACTAAAAACTGATGTCAGGATAATACAAAAAATTTCGGGACGGGATAGACGAGATTCGTGTAAAAACGTAATAAAAGGTTGTTCGGAAGCATTATTTAACTGTGACTTTTGTCTTTCATATTTCGAATCAAATGTGTACTGCTAAAACATAGAAGAACTTTTTCTTATTTTTCTTTACTAGATATCAGAAGAGTGGCGTGATGGCATTCTACCTCAATACATTCGCGTGACTTCTGTTACTGTGCCGAATGATATGGAATCCATCGTATGTGTGCATCCATATCCGATTGATTCTGATGATTCTAGCGTTCAGAAAGATCCAGCTAACAACGCTCTATACTTTCCGATCACAAAAGGCGATTTTACGAACGGTCGAAAAAGGTACTAAAAAATGACGCAAGTGCTTCGTTATTTTGCTATTTTGATTTGTTCTTCAGTCTCCTCCTTACACGCAAAAAGTTGGTACAAAGTGAACTCAAATCACACGGTCCTCTGCGCATAGCCGGTTCCGGTAAGAATATAATAATAATAATAACAAAACTATTTTTCTTCTCATTTGAAAGAGCAAAGACATATTCTTGGTATTATTAAAACATCACGCAGCAAACAACTAATTGAAACGTATAAATTGTGGAAATCGCAACTTGTTTTTTCTCGAGCCGAACATATCGGCGATGAAGTATTTAATATATTCACGGAGTCTTCGGTATCATCACAGGTGATATGCGACGAAATCAAACAGAAACACAGTAGGTGTATAAAAATAGCTGTATTTACCTTATTAGTATTTTCTATTTTCTTTTCCCAACGAAGATACTGCTGCTCCGGCCGTCGCACCAAACAATCATAATGAAAAATCGGACGTATGTGTACCAGAAAAGGGTAGCTGGACAGGTGGCGATAAGGTTTTGATGGTACTTCCTAAACTAGATCCGAAAAACCGTAATTTCTATTTTCATTTTTTGTTTAATATTTTTTTCTGCTGTTATTTTGAAGAACTTTCTATATATTTCGATTATGTGGAATTGAATCAGAAAAAGACTATTCAATACGAACTGGTTGATACGAAGACGATCGCGTTCCAGACACCGGCATGTCTGATGGACCCAAATGGGGAAGATAGAACGGTTTCAATCGTTGCTAAACAGAAGGAAAAGATCATTGCAAAATTCAGTTTTCTCTATCTAACACGTAAGTGTACCACTCATATTTGAACTAAACTCATTATTCTTGTCTAGCAAGCATCCCGCCGATAACAAACGTATGCTCGAACTGTCAGAGACATATGTCATCCGATTTCGTCTGCTCAAATTCTGATGATATGCTCGTGGACTAAGAATTTTATGCGCAGCAACTGCCTAATTCGAGTTATAATATAATTTAAGCAACAATTTACGATAATAAAATATATGTATTAACCGTAGACTTCACTCAAATGTACTGTGCACTCTATAAAAAGATGTGTTACGGAACGTGAAAAAATTCTCTCTAGCGAACATGAGTAGAATCGTTTAAAGCTTCTTATATAGAGAGTCTCGTAGCAAACCTACTATGAACAAGGTCCCGAAAAGGGTTGCGCAGCAAGGGTTTCGCAACTGCCTAACTATTAAATTCTCTTATCTATTGAACGAACGAATATGAATCAAAATTTTCTGGGCAGATTGTTCGCTTATTTTTGTCTTGCATGAAAGTAGCGTATGCGAGTCAAAAACTATAGAATAGAGCTAAAAAATTTTGCACTTTTCGAATATGAACTTAATAGTTTCGTGACTATTTTTTTTCGAAAGTAAAAAAAGACTCTTTGAAAGAGCTAAAAAAAGATACGGACGACAAACAAACAAGTTTTTATTGATCCTTATAAAGTCTGCTACGAAGATGTCAAAGGAGCATCAGATGTGATGGTACTAACGAATCAATCTGGAATGAAAACAGGCTCAATTCATTGCTCTTGACTCTTGTTTCTCTGTAATTGACTTTAATGTTCTTTAATTTCTAAATATGTTTTCTTTCTAAAATAAAAATGAGTGAGATAGGATGCGGGTATCGGTGTAGGTATAGACGAACAAGCCCAATTCACATCCACACCGTCACCCACCCTCAAGAACTTCCGTAACACCCTTTATGTTTCATAAAGTTTTGTTTTTGTTTTTCTTATAAAACACATGTGATCAACATTTACATCTAATAGATTGATAATAGTTTCTTTTGAAAAAAGAACGTGAATTTTGTTGAATAAATCAATCATAATATTTTTCGTTAGAAAAACAAAAAGGATTTTACATATTTTTTTCATTCTTCACTTTCTTAAGAGAAAAACAGGTATATCATATAAAATGTTTAGTAAACGTATTGTTTGTTGTACCTTGAATAAATATACATATGACTTCTATAAGTCACTTTTTTTTAAATATTTTCTAGAAAAAAAACTGTATTGATAGCATCTTGTCTTGATTTTAGTTTTATTGTGCTACTTATGATATTGTAGAGATCATGAGTAATTTAACTCGTCGAAATAAATCAAAACTAGAACTTCTTCCTGATGAAATTTTCTTAGAACTATTTTCATACATCAAACCGATTGATCTTTATCATGGTTTTCTGAATCTTAATTCACGTTTAAATAATATTTTAAATGATACTTATATATGTATACATATTATTAACGATGACGAACATAAAAGTGATCAATTATGTATAAATTATTTTGCTCAACAAATAATTTATCTTGCTATTGATTGTCATTGGACATGTTTATCTTATCCTATAAATCTTCGATTCTTGACTAATTTACGTTCACTTCATCTACCTATACCAAGTGATGAGCAATGCTTAGATATTACACCAACTAATTTACCATATTTAACTAATTTAACTATAAATGATAATGTATTTAAAACAACTTTATTTAATATAAATTCATTTCCATATTTTTCTACATGTTGTATTCCACGTATTTATTCATCAATGTTAAATACAATGAAATCGAATCAATTATGTTTAACATTGCATTCTCTTCAATTAAGTACTTGTTTAATTCATGATTTATATGATATTCTTCCATATTTACCAAATTTTAATTATTTAGAAATTGTTTTACAATCAAATAATCGAAATATTCAACGAGATTATATAAAACATAATAAAATATCTCATTTAAAAATAAAACTTCGAAAACTTGATCCTGATTTTGAAATTTTACTAAAATCAATGTCTAATCTTCGTCGAATTGAATTCTTATGGAATAATTCTTATCAATGGTATAATGAAAGAAAAAATTTTAATTTTAATAGATTTTCTGATATAATTAATGAAAATAGTAAATCATTACAACGTCTTGATATTGATATTCATGTTTCAAAATGTGATTATGATATTAATACTATTCATCATATAAATTTACGATGGTTTTCATCATTATCTATTATAGAAATTTATAATGATAGATCATTTTTCATTACAACGAAAAAAATATCATCGAATCCAGAAGATAAATTAATTACTACTATATTACAATCAACATATATGGCACAGAGAAATGCACGTTTCAATCGAATTACAATAGATAAAATTTAAATAATATATAGAGAAGATAAAAGAAAAAAACAAAAATGTTTTTGTGTAATTATGTTATTTATGATTGTAATAAAAAGGAGAAATATAGCTTTGTTCTGTGTTGATGATTGAGTTGTACAACTTGTTATTGCTTTATTACAATAACATTTCTCATCGCAACAATGTAAATAAACAAGTAGTGCAAGGCAACAGAACAGTATTTATAATGTTGATGAAAATGTATTTTTGTTTGAAAAAAGAAAGTAAGAAACAACGTGCCATTAGAGTTGCATTTTGATCAAACAAGAACATTAAACAGTCCAAAAAACGACTTTATCAGGTGAGATCGTGTTGTGAATTCGTATACAATGTCACAGAAAAATTCTAAAATGAACAGTACTACACAAAAGCAATCGAGTGTAGTATCAAAGCCGAAAACAGTTACCATGAACAAGGCTAATTTGAAACAAATCAGTACTGAAAAAAATCCCGTGAGCAAGACTATTACATCAAAATCTCCATCAATGCGCTCGGTCGAGAATTTTATTATTGTTTGGTTAGATGTAAATATGAATGAGACAAAGGACGTGTATCGAAATTCGATTGATAACCTTCGAAGTATTGTTAATACGATAAAAACATTCAATAATATGAATTTATGTATGGATTTCTTAATTCAAATTCAAGAAGAAAAATTATTTATGATTGTATCAGATTCTCTTGCCCAAGCAATCGTGTCTCATATTCATTCCATGTCCAAGGTCTATTCAATCTATGTGCTGAGTGACAAAAAATCAAGTGATGAGTCATGGATGAAGAAGTGGAGTAAAGTGAAAGGAACCTTTACGAGTATCAAACCTATTTGTGATACACTTAAACATGATATTCAGCAATGTAGTAGTAATCTGACACCAATTAGCATTCTCAGTACTAGCTATTCGTCGAACCGAGACGTAAATGAACTTGATCAATCGTTCATGTACTCGCAACTACTCAAAGAGATTCTTCTCGAATTAAACTACGAGCCCAATGTCAAGAAGGAACTAGTCGATTTTTGTCGCATTCAATATTGTAACAATACTGTCGAATTAAAGATCATCGACGAATTCGATAAACAGTACGAAGATCATTCACCCATCTGGTGGTACACTCGTGAAGGTTTCACTTATTCAATGTTAAACAAAGCACTACGTACACAAGATATTGAGATCATTATTAAGATGGGATTTTTTATACGTGATCTACATCAACAAATCGAATTACTTCATTCAGCAACAAAAAATCAAGGTTCTCTGACTGTTTATCGTGGTCAAAGTATGCTCAATAATGAATTCGAAATGATTAAAAGCAGTAAAGGTGGTCTTCTGTCATTTAACAATTTTCTGTCGACAAGTATTGATCGACAAGTTTCTCTTTCTTTTGCCAAAATAGCATTACATAATCCTGATTTAAAGGCAATTCTTTTTCAAATGGAAGCTAATCCAGCATTTGCTTCAACACCTTTTGCTCAAATAAGCAACATCAGTTATTATTCAGATGTAGAAAAAGAGGTACTCTTTTCGATGCACACCGTATTTCGTATTGGTGAAATTGAACAGATCGAAGATGGAGTATGGCAAGTGAAGCTAACATTGACTAGTGATAATGATGAACAATTAAAGAAGGTCGCTGAACGTATTAGAATAGAGATTGGACCAGGAACAGGTTTACATCGATTGAGTCAATTGATGATCAAGATGGGTAAATTCGACAAGGCCAAGGAAATCTCTGAAGCACTACTCAGTTTGGCATCCGGTAATAATGCACGAACTACTGCCACATGTCACCATCAACTCGGATACATCGACGAAGAGAAAGGTGACTTATCAAATGCTCTTATCCACTACAAACAATCTCTCGATATCAGTCTTACTTATCTATCATCGGATGATCCTTCTCTCGTTTCAACCTACTCGAATATTGGTAGTATTTATAAAAAACAAGATGATCTAAATGCTGCTTTTGAATATTTTCAACGTGCACTAAATATTGATCTACATGCCTCAAATCCTGATCAACTTCAAATTGCAACTCATTATAATAACATCGGTCTTGTGCTTAAACGACAAAATAAAGACGATGAAGCACTTAAACATTATGAACGTGCACTCGAACTTAAGCTTGCTCATCTTCCAGCACGTCATCCATCGTTAGCCATTGCTTACGGTAATATCAGTGGGATTTATCAATCAAGAAAAGAATATCCGAAAGCTCTTATGTATCTTGAAAAAACTCTTGAAATCAAACAAAAGTCTCTTCCACCTAAACACCCATCGTTGATCGTAACTCATCGCAATATGGCAACAGCACTCGACGGTCTCCGTCGATATGACGAAGCCATCCAACATGCACAGAACGCAGTCGATATTGCACGATGTACATTCGAACCTGACCATCCAGAAGTTAAAGAGAATCAAGAATATCTCGATGCACTTCGTGAAAAATTATGATTCATCTTCAACAGTGGTCCTATTCTAAAATTCAAGAATTCTAAAATTTTCAAATAAATATATATGAATTTATTTGATATTGGTATAGATGGAGTTTAGGAATTTTCAAAATTTTAGGGTGGGTGTGAGTATCATTGAGGGCGTTTCTTCCTTTAATTTCATTACCCACACCCTCAAGATGCATACCTTTATTTTCCTTTTATTTCCCATTAGATGATAGATTTATTCGAAATATTTTGATAGTTCTTCTGTTATTTAATAGACATATACTTCGTAATGATTGATTATATAATTTTCAGAACTTATTCTCATGCACAAGATTTAGTATCATGTTCTATAAAAGAAGAAGCATCGATAAGTTTCTTTTTATTTGTCTACAATATCTTAGATTTTTATGTCTATAACTATGACTATATATAATATTAGGTTCTGAATGTTACTCTTTGTGACTTCTTACTATAAGACTTGCATTTCGCTTTTTTTCACTTGCATGTTTCTCAATTAGTTTTTGTTTTTTTGTCACATCAAATCTACTAAACGCGACATCTTATAAGTCTATTGCGCTTCCTTACATGTTTGTACCGCTCATTATTGGATTAATAAAGTAGCTGTAAATATTAAGGATGTGTGTGTGTATCAGGACGAACTGTGTATGGTATAATAATTTTCTAGGAACTATTCGAAGATAATATTCAATATAGAATAGATAAACTATATCATTTACATTTTCTTCAAATTCTTAGAGAGAATAGATTAAGAACAATTATATTTGTGTGGGTTAAAATATTTTATTTAGATATTTGAATAAATAAAGCAGAAAAATAGGTTTTAGTCTGTGAGAAATGAGAATAATAATGAAGGATTTAGTTAATTCTTTCTTGCATTGTTAATGCATCTGTAACATCATCTTCTTCATGTTGTTTACGAACATGAAGTAAAATCATAAGTTCATGCCGGAACAATTGACTTGATAATGTGCACGAATAAAAACTTAAACAAGGACCAAACAGACCAACGAATGAAAGCACATTGCCAATTAAACTTTGTTCAGCCAATTCTAATGCATTTTTTCGTGAATTATCATCAAGTATATTAAATGTACCACCAATTGCTCCTGCAGCTGATGTTAGTCCAAATAAAATTGATTGCATAAGTGTCATTTGAATCAATTGTCGATCAATAAATTTCGTTCGTTTCTGATGATGAATTATAATATTTTCATCATGAACTCTTGGAATTGATTGTTGAATATGACGAATTGTAAGAAAGCCAAATATAAACATTGTTAATGATGGAATCAAACTCCACACAATTAAAATAAAAAATCCATTTAATTTTTGAAATAAATTTGGTTGACCAAGACATATTACTGGTTGACTACTGATTGTGAAAAAGATAAGTATTGGCATTTGTGTAAGACCTGTAAATATAATTGCAAGTGTTATCAAATATTTGAAAACACGAATTGAACTCCAACCACGAAGTCTCATAGATGGTGAGCTACATAAAAACCTTGAATAGAAAATCAAATATCATATATATATATATATATATATATTCAAATTGTTTACTAATTACCGATCAATAGAAGCTAAACCTATAAACCAACAGGGTAAAATTCTACAAAATAAAAAAATATAGTAACAATCAAAACTAATTTGATCATCATCTATTATCAAAATATTAATAAATTACCTTGCCCAAGAAAATAAAAATGTCAACATTTTGCACATTGTCACTGAAGAAAGAAATAAACTTCGACTATACCCAAATTGTAAAAGACGCACTGGTAGAACACCAAAAATAACACCATAACCAGCAATGGCTGATGCCATAAAATATCTAGCACATGGATTCAATCGAAGTGCAGGCCGGGTAAATATACAGACATTTAATGAATGTCCAATCAAACCAAGAATAAACATTGTCATACACCAATATCGGGTGAACATGATTGTTTTCTGTGTAACATTACTCACAGCACTAGCAAGATCATTAGTGGTATTTGAAGAAGACATCGTAAAATATATTTAATAAAATAATCTAAAATAACTATTATTGTTTAATAAATCATTTTCAATATCTTCTCATGTGTTACCTCAGAGTTTTATTCTTTAAGAGAATAATGTTTTAAAACATAGTCAAAGCTCAGTAAACTAAGACTATCACTACTTTTCTCAGATATTTCTATCTAATAACATCTGTTTATATACTCTTCCTCACATTTGTTCTTTCTTGCTCATCAGCTTCATTTATTCGGCACTTCAGACAAGAAAGAGAGAGAGAGAAAGAAAGAATGGAAGAAAATCTGTTAGAGATCAGTCAGGTCTCTATGTTCTTGACCTATTTCAAATAATTTTCATTCTTATTGGTTACTTATACAAAAAAGTTCATTTGACCTTTAAGAGAAAACAGAGCATCCAACAGACAAAAAGAATTAACAGATTTGAATTATTTTTAGTTTAAAATATCAACAGTTTATCACAACCTGAACTCTGACAAAGTTCGAACTTTTTCTATCTTTTATACATGTCATAGAATTCATTTTATAATTAGTTTTTATTTCATTCAAGTCTTCAGTTGATTCTTAAAAGCACTATAAAATCAATACACAACTATCTATATATAGCAAAGACTGACAAATATGATTACAATATTCGTCTACGAAGACAAAGCGAACAAGAAAAGATTATATACTATCTTATCTTTAGATATTTAGATTAACAACATTCCTTAATTTTCGAACAAATGATATCTGCTGAAGTTATTATAAAAGATAACCTTTATGCTTTTAGCAATGACACTGATAATACATATATCTCACACTTTGTTTGGTTTTGAAGAATTTTATTTGAGATTGCTTCAATCTTTATAATTTATCACAGGAAAATTCCGATTTTGTTCTGACTTCTGAAATCAAGACGAAATTGACACATTCATTAGATGTGTATGTTAGTTTAAGATACTATTCTTTTATGTTAATTGGTCGATGCATTTAATATTGAATGTATTCAAAAAAAACTTAGTCGAAGAACAAGATGATCGTATCAAAAATACTTTAATAAACAAATAATAAAATTGTTTTCATTACTGACATGTTGACATATTAATCCCCTTTAATTTTAAGGATTGTCTTATTTTTTCCATTTTTGAGAGTGGCCTACAGTCTTTGCTTTTGACCTTTTTTTGTCATCGCACTATTTCTATAATAAAACTTGTCGGAGAGCTACCAAATTCATGAATTTCTACAATCAGATTCAATTAGTATCTAGTATTCTTCTTGAATAAGAGATAATGAAAAATCAATAAAAACATAACAATATAGCAAAAGTCTTCGCATATATGACTAGTGAATTTGGTTTATTCATAAATTTTATCGGTACAATTAAGAAAGTGAAATAAGATTACCATGACCCATGAATATATTTTCATCAGACTTAAAAACAATATTTTTATTAATGGTTATAATCGTCTTAGACGGTAAGCAGTACACAATGATTTCATTCAATCTAATAAAAATATTGTTATTTCTGCTTAGTCAAATGATGATTATAAGATTAGGTTGACCCGAATAGATTACGTTCTAAAAGTACAATGAAACAAGATGAATCTTTGATTATTTTGTCTACAAAGAGTCTTCGTGAGAAGATGTGACATAGTCATACGAAAAATGTCATTTTTTTAGAATCACTTGTTAATTACACAGATATTTTCTATTATATACATTTAATAGCACAAACAAATATATAATACTTCATTATGAAGAGAATGATCGAATTGTAACAATAATGTAAAATCTTATATTTATATAAACATATTATCTTGTTTCATTAATGAATAACTACTAGACATGTATCATAAAGCGAAAGAAATTTAGTTCTTTAGTTTTATCAAGTTTAAACACTTGTATATAATTAATGCTATCATAAAAAACAAACATCAATACAATACAATAGATAGTATATTTCATTTAAAACATTAAAAAGCTGATGACATTAATAAAACAAAAGAAGAAATATCATATGACATAAAATTATTGTCTTCAAATATTATAGAAATATTATGATTTAGCTAATGAAGTTTCATAGAAAAAAAGAATATGTATACGCGAAGTTTATTTTTGCACATCATTCGATTAAACAATCATAAGTCCTATAAGTGTACGTTAAATTGTGACAGAAAATTCATTTTAATATGAAAAAGTATACAACAAAAATGTATACTGTGGATGGATATGGGTAATAAAACAACAAAAAACCTATCGTTCTTTCTTTTTTTACAAATAATCAGAATAGAAGAAAGAAAAACCATATGAGTCATTGTAATTTCACAATCATTGCGTCAGATATAATATTACAATATAACAATGAAGAATATGGAAGAAATGAATTGTATATCAACATTAGAACTTATTTTGTTCATGTGTGTTTACTAAACTATACGTAAGTGTGTAAAGTTTTTCCATCGAATAAAGAATCATTAAGAAATATCTTGTAATGTTGCTTATAGATTGGTTAACAATAATAAAGCATAATAAGCCGAGCTATAGAACCATACTGTACAAAAATGATATGTCTATCACTATTATCTAAACTAATAAATTGTTAGACTTCATTTAGTAACCATGTGTAATAAACAAAAGTCTACGTGGCAGAATAAAGTATTTTTCAATTCTGTATATGACTCATCTACATGAAAAGGTTTTGTCAAAAATAATAAGATTAGTCATGATGATGTTACTAATATTTTTTTCGAATCTATTCTAGCACTTTATAAAATTTTCCATTTAGGATACAACTAGTGAAAGTATCAATACTTCATGCTGATTGCTTGGTAATGAATTCACGAACTGTTCCATGCATACGTATTGATTATTCAAACCTATATCCTTGTGGAACTTTGATCAATAAACAAATCTATACTGACATTAATGAAGCTGATGTAAATCAATTCTACTTACGTTTCGAAGAAAATGATGAACAAAAAAGTATATTTCGTAA